GTGTAGAATCTTGTTTGTGTCTCTTAATCACTTTATACAAAGTATTATACAACACCACAAAGCAAAGAACGTTAAAAGGAGCATCCATTTTCAAACAAAGTGGTGTAATCTTGTGGCGTGTCAGGACTATGCAAAGAACCAATAATAATCACATATATAAATATAATCATTTCACAAGAATAGTGAAATAACTTTTTCGTGTCAATATTAAAGAAAATAATAATCATTTTTACTTTATTTTATTCCTAAATTATTTTCATGAACTTATTGGATGAGTAGTTTTAGTGGAGCCTAATCTTGTGGCTTCAAAGTTTGAAATCAATTTCTATTGATTGATACAGGTAGAGTTTTCTGTGTTACTTCTGATCACTATGAAATAATAATAATCACATATAAAAGTACATACCATTTAATTAGTAAATTATTAGCTAATCACTGATGGTTATATATAAAAGTAATTTGTCTATTAAATCTTGTTTTCAGACTAGAGAACCAATAATAATCAGGCTCAGGTTGTGTCAGGACTTTTGAACCAATATCAAGGTTTTCACAAGAATGGTAGATTTTTTCCAAGATGAAAATAATAATCACATATATAAAGTACATACCATTTCACAAGAATTTAGTTGTATAATATTTAACTTTCGTCCAACCTTCACATATATACAAATTTCACAAGTAATTAAATCTTGTCATATATGAAAGAACCAATAATAATCACATATTTTCACAAGAGTAGAAATCTGTTCACAATAATGCAGGTTGGCCTTCCTGTCCTATGGAACCAATTTACATATAAAGTTTTTTTAAATTAGTGGAGCTTATGCAAAGAACCAATAATAATCCACATATAAAGTACATACCATTTCACAAGTAGTAAATTAGTGTATTCATGTTGATCAGGACTATGCAAAGAACCAATAATAATCACATATATAAAGTAACCTTTCTTCAATTAGTCCGCCTACAGGTCCGATATCCTCGCACCAAAGAACCAATAATTATATATAAAAGTACATACATTTCACAAGAGTAGTAAATTACCAAGGAAGAACTACACAAAGAACACAAATCACATATATAAAGAATACCATTTCAAAGAGTAGATATATTATGTCAAACTAGGCTAAAAAATCATAATAATCACAAAAAAGTAAAACCATTTAATAAGTTAAATTAGTGTAGTTTTCATTGGTGGCCTTAGTCAGAACTATGCTGAGAATCAATAATAATTACATATAAAATTAAAATCCATTTCATAAGAGTAGTAAATTATTGTCTTCTTGTGGCCTTGTGTTAGGACCATTCAAAATCATTATATCACACAAAAATGTAAAAACCATTTCACAAGAGTTAAATTAGTGTGACTAAGGGAAGAATAACCAAGATGTAAATATGCCGTAAATTTTACAGAAAGTTTATTTAGTCTGAAAAAATCTTTTTGTTAAACAAAGGATATATGATGTCATA